TTTTCTGATGCTGCGTGAGTTCCCAGACGCACCGGGGACACATGTTTATGTATAAAAGACATCACAAAGTGCATTTTGCATGATAGGTCCCCTTTAAAGACAAAGCAGCACAAAGATGTTTAGATTTAGGATTTAAAGCTTTGTCAGAAAACATGTTTTTCTGTGAGAGGAACGAGCATCTTTGTGCGAGTGTTTTTCCCAGCTGTTGTGTTGAGTGATTCAGTCCTGATGCTGATGAAACTCTGGCTGACAAGGTCAACAGCTCTGACCTCACACACACACACACAGTCTTGTGAGGACCACCCTCACTGGAGAGTACAGTCAGTGTTTCTTTCCACATTCTCCAAGGCTTCGGATTGAGCTACATTTATGATTCACAAAAATCACTTTGTGGTCTGATGCAATGAAGTCCTGAAGTATCATTTGTTCTTCAGTTGATCTCTGACTGAGCTATTCAACCGTCTAGCAATGTTGGGAAAAACACAATTTCCTGCAGACCAAAGTGACGTCTTCATGCGTCTCGTTTTGACCCACACATTCACAGCTTCCCCACTATAGTCACCGTCTCAAAGCAGCTATCACAGTTACACAACCTCGCCCAAGGTACACACACACACACACACACACACACACACACACACACACACACACACACACACACACACACACACACACACACACACACACACACACACACACACACACAATAGTGGAGTGGTTCGTCAGCGCCACCTGCTGGTTAGCAGTGAGAGAGGCAATAAATCCCCCCATTTCAGAAACTGAAATTGACCGCTTGATTTCTTGCCATTAATTATCTGGCTAGATGTTTAATCTCTACATTTGACTTTCATCCGTTGTGATTTTAGCATTTTTTCTTAAAGACAGCCGAAACCTATGACTTGTTTATTGTGGTAACAGAGAAAGATACAAGTTTTCACATTTATCCTGATTCCTGTGTTGGTTTGCGTCACTGATTTATAATTCTGCCAATTGTGTGTGCACGTGTGTGCACGTGTGTGTGTGTGTGTGTGTGTGTGTGTGTACTCACCGTCTGGCTGTCAGGAAAGTCCATCTTGATCAGTTTGTGAGCGCACTCCTCAAAGTCCAAACTACAGAAACAATCATTCCATTAATACATTTATCGGTTAATATACATCATTGAGTTCAAGTGTGTCATTTTCTCAAATCTGTTTCTGTGTTTCTTCTTGTTCTCCAAATCTGTGAGCTCCTGTACACTGAAACCATGGTAACTAGGCTGTGAACACACATACCCTAACAAAAACACACACAGATCTTTTAACACAGCTTTAAATATTAGTCCAAGTCCATCAAATATAGATGGAGCTGTAAATAACTGCCAACACCCTGAGAGACAACTGAGTCTGTGTATGTGTGTGTGTGTGTGTGTGTGTGTGTGTGTGTGTGTGTGTGTGTGTGTGTGTGTGTGTGTGTGTGTGTGTGTACCTGGATTGGATAGCGAGGTAGATGGTTCTTCTGAAAGCAACCAGGTTGATTTCTGTCTGATCGTAGATGATGATCTTCTCCTCTGTGAGGGAGAGACAGAGAGAGGGCTTCTTTAATGTTGTGTTAGAATCCGGTTCATACTATCCGGGACTTGTTATATACTTGACTAAACTCCTTCAGCTTTAAAGTAGAATAAACATAATTATCCTTTAACTTGAGAGAAAATGGCCTTTTCAGCAGTTGTGCCTCACCTTCTGTTGGCTCTGCGTTCTCTTCTTCGTCGTCTTCATCGTCGCCGCTGGCGTCTCCGTCTTCCCCTGAGTCGCTGCTGCCCTCATCCAGGATCTCTGTCAGGGGGTGGAAGCTGATTGGTTAAACTGTGGAATAGGTGACAGCTGATTGGACTGTTCAATATTTTTACAAACTCTCACCTCTTTTGATGGTTTTGTATTTCTCCTCGTTCTCCAGGAAGTCTGGGTCCATCTTAAACACATCTGAGTGAACACACGGCAGATGTTAGATCTACATATATAACACATTATCATTTCTGAAGAGAGCTTTAGAGCCGGTTCCCTCCCTCCCTCCGGCTTACTGAGGATGTCGTCGATGCTGTACTCGTCGTCCAGGGGCAGCATGTGGGTGAACTGGTCCCCCTCGTCCACCAGGTCCAGACCCTCTGGGATCACCGGGTGGTCTTTGAAACCGTCCTTCCTGATGGCAAACATTACCTCGATCATGTACTGGACCCTCTTATCAATGGCCGACTCGTGGAGGACGTTCCTGAGACGCTCAAATATGGCTGAAAAGAGAGATGTAGGCATTTTCGATTCATTGTGCTGACACTTGGGAACTTTTTGAATTTGGAGAGCCTTTGAGAAAGCAGTCTGTGTCTTGTCCAATACTGAGGAGCAGGACACGTGGTTCCAATTATCACAAATATTATATTTTATTTAACACGATGCAATATTTTAAAAGACAGTTTCAAACCCAATCATACAGGGGGGGGCTATAAAATAAGGGGACCACTAATCATAAGGTTTAACAACAGAATTCAAACCAAAGAGGAACAGTACTTTAAAAAAAAATTATAATTGGAAAATGTTTGTACTTCCCTTAAAATTATTTTAAAGGGAAAGAGGATTTCAGAAATTAACAATTGATGATTTGAAGAAAATGGCAAATTGGATCAAATAAAAATTGAATATAGTGACATTTAAAAGCTTTATTTGTAAACTGCAGGATAACGAAAATGTCTACATTTGAGAAAAGTCAATTGATAAAAAAAAGAAGAATGTCTTGTCTGGAGTATTTACCGTTGATTCCTCGCGGGGACACCTCGGTCAGTTTGAGGCCACACTCCTTCAGGAAGGCGATGGCGACCTCCACGCTGTCGTCAGTCGGACGCTCCAGCAGCAGAGTGAGCATCTCCAGACACAACACCTCATGAGCCTGAGGGAGAGACGTGAACACACTCCATTAGAGCTGAACATGAACACTTGTTCTCTTTTGCGAATGTTGACGTCCGACGGCAGGACCTACCACGTTCTGGTTGATGAGATGAGCCACAAACTTGGAGGCTGTAAGGCACTGTTGCTGGAAAACAAAAGACACACTGATTTGAATACATCGGTAATCCTCATACAATTGCTTAACAAAGACAAAGAAGCCAATATTTATGATACGAAATATTATTCACATTTAATGTCCATAAAAGGAGAAAATCCTCAATCTAAAGTGTGTTTGAACAGTATTTTAAGATGTGTATGTTTATAAATACCTCACATTTGTCTAGCAAAGCTTGTTATTTCATACAAAATGTACCAAACGTGGCTCAGTCAGTCGGGGCTTGGACCGGGAGCTGTAGGGTCACCGGTTCAAGTCCCCGACCAGGCCTAAATTATGGAGTGTGGACTGCAACTTGGAGAGGTCCCAGTTCACCTCCTGCCCTGCCGTGGTGCCCTTGAGCACGGCACCGGACACCCCCCTTCCCCCCCTCACTCCCCGGGCGCTTTACGATAGCTGCCCACTGCTCCCAGGAGTCTAGTAAGACTCCTGGTACTAGGATGGGTTAAAAGCAGAGAACACATGTCACTGTGTGTGCTGTGTGCTCTGCATGTGTGACCATTAAAGAGGGGTTTCATCCCTCCCGTTCTATCTATCTAAAAGGCTTGCCTAATTAGAAACTGAAAAACAACATATTGCATGAAATGAGGCTTTTACATTACGACAGAAATGGAATCCTGGCATTTGTAAAAACAAAACCATTCTTAACCACCTCTATCCGGCACGTCTTTTAATTCTACTGACTGTCCTGTCATGTTCTGTTTTTCAATGTTTCAACATCAAACAAATACAAAGAGAGACTCAGCGAGAGACACAGGACAGGTACCTTGATGTTGCGGCGGTAGCTCCTCCTGAAGGACAGGATGAGACGTTTGAGGATCAGCTCTCCAATCTGAGGGAACTTGGAGTTGATGATGGAGATGACAGCGGAGTAAACGTGAGTAAAGATGGGAGACGCCGCCTGAGCCTGCAGCATGGAGCGAGCCAGCAGACCCCTGAGAGGCAGACGGGGGGACAGTTACAGCGGGCAGTCAGGCAGAAGCTTTTTAGCCCCTCACTACCCCATATTGGTTTCACTCAATCTGTCTGTGATATGACTTTAGTAATATGAAGTTGTCTGTGTGTGTGTGTGTGTAATTCTTCACCTCCCCCTGACGATGTTCTCCTGCAGCAGCTCCTGGATGATGAAGACGATGTTCGCCACGTTGACTTTGTTGATCAGGCCGTTGATGGACTTCTTCAGGGCCTCCCAGCTCATCCTCTGATAGGCCAGGCTGCACAGGAAAAGGGCATTAGTGACACACAGGTTATAGAGTGGTATAAATACAAATAGTTGGAACCACAGCCCCTGAGACGTGGAATTGTTTCATATCGTGTGCTTTCTGTTGATAGGGAGACAAAGCGAAAGGAAAGGCAGAAAACGGGAACAGAGAGAAGATAACACGCAACAAAAGGCCCTGGGCTGAATTCAAACAAGCTATTGCAATTTCATTTACTAACGGAGCTAATCAGATTTGAAAACTCCCTTAAATGCACAACGTTCAACCTTCTTCCCATCCAACTTCGACTATAAGACAAAGTAGCTAATGGTTATTTATATAGCGGTTATCTGCAGCACGTTTCTGGTCTTCATAAGAACAAATGTGAATATCAATCTACAAACTGATATACGAGTAGGAAACGATCTGAATGAGTTGAGGAACCAAGTCTTAAAGACTGTGTTCTAATCTTAGCTGCTATAAATACATCAAAACACTCTTACCTGGTCTTGTCTGTGATTTGCTGCTGCATCATGCGCAGCTTGGCGGGGGGGATGTAAGCTCCACCCGTCCTCGTCAGGATCGGGTCGATCTCCTCCTTCTTCTTCTTGACTGGCGGCTCCTCTGCGGTCCCTGGCTCCCTGTCAGCTGACGGGGATCCGGAGCGCCCTCGCCTCCTCTGCTCCCACTCTGCATCTCGGTTAGGTCGCCGGTCAAAACGCGCGTCCCTGTCGTCTCGGCGAACATCGTAGCGATCGCTGGGGGAAGAGACAAAAAAAAAAAAGAAAGCTTTTAACATTTGTTGTGGTTGTGTTTTTGTTTTTTAGGTGTACCAAACGTTGAATTCGATCAAAAGAAAGAGAGGGGATGAGATCTATTTTTTGGTATTCAATAAATTAGGTACAATACATAAGAGGCTGCAATCTGATTCTTATGTTGTCTTTAATGTGCAATGTGTTCTATGACCCGGTCTTTAAGCTATCGAGGACCTTCTTTTAAACTAATAGAAAGTCACCAACTAAAATGATGGCAAGCCAATAAGAAGCAGCGTTGGTTACCGATCGTGGCGTCCTCTGTCGTAGCGCCCGCGGTCTCTGTCTCTTGACCTGGACCGCTCTCGTCCTCTGGACCTTGACCTGTCCCTGGATTTGGACCTGGATCTGTCTCCCTCTCCCGATCTCTCCCCCTCTCCCGATCTGGATCTGTCTCGGTCTCTGGATATGGATCTGTCTCTGGACCTAGATTTGGATTTGGACCTCTGGACAACAAAAAAACAAAGACTGTCAGCGGTATTTCTTTTGATCTCTTCATTTGAAAAGGAATGTCACTTTGATTTTGAAAATAATTGTTTAACAACTGGGAATTGCGTTTACATTTTAGCCTGTGCACTTTATACAACTTAAGATTCAAGTAAACGGACCAGAAGAACACTTCACATTTCTGCTTCATGTTTAACCTTCATTATTCAATAAGGATTAAAGGAAACAATGATGTTGCTCCCTTGATGAATGATAAGGATAAACTGTAAATACATTATAACTTTTTGCATTTTTAAATTGATCATGCTTACCTTGATCTGTGCCACACTACTCCTGAGCCTTCGCAGTGCCCCTTGATGTTCTTCCTCATCATCACTGCTGGTGCTGTCGTCTGAGCTGCTGGAGGCAGGACCCCCAGGGGCAGGACCCCCAGAGGCAGGACCCCCAGAGGCCGGGCTCCCGGAGCGGGACCGGGCTGCAGGACTGGCTTCACGGGACGGCTTCGTCTGGGGTTCTGGGCTTTTCTCTATAGGACCCTCCTGTTTGGGCTTTTCTGCTGCAGGACTGGCCTCATCTTCTGAAGGTCGTGAAGACAGAGAGGGAGAGAGCAGCGTTATCAGATGATACTACATCTACAATTGCTACAACTGCTAGCAATGCTGCTGTTCCTACAACAACCTAAAATAACGAAAGCAGGTTTTACTCACCACTTGGTTCCTTCATCTCAGGAATGGGACTGGGACTTCTGCTTGGAGAGTCCATACCTGAAAATATATGCATGCACATGAATAACTTTGGAGAATAGGTACTGAAACAGACATCACAGATCAACTTATATGTGATAAGCAGAACTATTCTGTTGATGAACACAAGAGTCAGACAGCACTTATAGCAATACATTAAACTATACATATAGTGTGTATTTTAGATAGCAGAAAAGCTACAGTGATCATCACTTTTAAATATCTCGACAGTCTCTGAATAATATAATATATTACAAAATGGTTTTACAATTGATTGCAGATGTGTTGCTCTGACACCAATCGGCCTTCTATGCAGAAGAGATACCTTTCTCGATGAATTACACGATGACACATTGGATTAGCAGGTGGAAACAACATAAAGCCAGAGATGATGTCTTCCATTTGATTATAAGGAAAGCCCATAATAATCACATCTAAGATGCTGTTATCATCAACACATAAGCTTTTATAGATGACAGATGGATTGAATTAATACAATGTTCTATTTTTCTGTCGATCAACTTATTGATGACTTGAACAATATCTAATTTCTAGCAGAAAGACACATCACTGATGAGATTTTCTCAATGTTTGTATGTGTGCTGTCTCACGGTCTCACAGACTGCTTCTGGACAACAGCATATAAAAACATCATCACAAACGCAGGATATATTCTATTCATGTTAAGTTCACTGGCTCTTTGAAGTTAAGTGTCTGCAGACTTTCACTTAAAACTTAGAACTTGAGTTGTACCTGTAGCTAATACACAAGAGCAGCTAACACTGACAAGGGCAGGACAAAACTTCAGTAAATCAAAATCAAGTAAACCTTACAGCTAAAGTAGTCATTAAGATTACTTTTTTAAACAACAATATTATTTATAAATTCAAAATAAAAAAACTCCAACGAACGCATCAGTTTTAAGGCCATGTGTGTTTGGGTGAGCTAAAGTTAGCTAGTCAGCTAATCCTACTTTAGCTACATCTGGTTAGCTGAAATGCTCATTATTTGTCCCTAAAACAGCAACACTTTGCTTTTGTTTGCGTCTCTGGAAATGAACGATATATTCTTACTTCACTTAGTCTTTTTATGTCCAGTTGTCGTGTTGTTTTCCGCCTTTTCGTTCTTCTGATAAATCAGTACGTCGTTCTCTGGCGGAAAACGTCGCCCGACAGCTTCCGGATTTCAGAACAAAAGTCCCTGAATTCTTTCTGTACCGCCCCCTGGTGGTGATAACAGTGACCTCCTCCAAAGATGTCCCTTTAGTTATCATAGGGGGAACTTGCATTATCATGGATACAAACAGTATCTTATATAACGGTTAAATTACATCCACATTCTCAAAACCCAAATCCAGCACCAGACACTTTTTACGCTGCTATGGACAATCTGGCAATAATGCACATTCTATGGACAAGCTGCACATTCTGTGTACAATTTTGCACTAATGTACATTCTCAAATATTGAAGTGACTGTTATTTTGTATATATTGATTTTTGTGTTTTTATGTAGGTCTAAATATGTGCAGATGTAAAAATGTGTCTATGATTCTGTGTATATATGAACATATTTGCATACATATTTTTATATTCGGGATTGTGGGAAACGGTATTTCGATCTCTAAATCTGTACACACAAACAGGAAGATAGACAATAAAGTCGACTTTGAAATTGAAAAGGCTGCTTGTGAAATAGAGAGATAGAGCTTTATTAATATCATAGGAAATTGCTCTGCAAGTTCTCAAAATTTTAATTAGAAAAAAATCCAATAATAAATATAAAGTGTATGAGAAATAAAGCAATAGTACCAGTGCCTAGATAAGTAACTAACACCTGCATCTAATATAACATTTCAAGTAAGATACTTTACAAACATAATTGAATTAAGAATAATAAAGTAGTACTAACAAATATCTAAAGGTAATATTGAACATGATATTGAAAAGTAATATTGCCCAGGATATTGATATTGCTGTTTTAAGTGTGTGATATTACATGTGTCCTAACAAAATATATTTTTATACTTTTAGAAATTAGGAATGATCTTCTGTGGCATTCTGTTTCACACCTGGTTAATCTCACTCAACGCCTGAAGGTGATCTGATCATGAACATATGGTATGTGATTTTGGGGCATGAATATAAAATGTTCACAGTTTGAACATTTGAAATACTTGAAGTTGTAGAAGTGGCAGTAAAAATAAAAGAAGCAGAACTCATCAGTACTGAAAATAAATACATCTTTATTATTCTCATCTCTCATCGCATGGGAGTAATACCTCCCATGCATCCCGCTGAAAAGACATCAATACAAAATACACATCATCATTATTAGGCATTAACAGAAATTAATAGACACCAACAGACAGAGCAGGGAAATTACAAGTGTGCGAAAGATTTTCTTGATCAGATAAAAATTAAAATAAAAGCACGTTTGAGCCTCGGAGTTCACATCGAGTGTTGGTCCAGCAGAGTAAGGTTTGTGATCAGTGAACATAAAAAATGAAATGTTTAAACAAACACAAAGTCATAAATGTTGAAGAGAATCGAAGGTCAAATGCATGTTAGTAGTGATTTAGATAAGGGAATAACAAAGGCTGTGTGATGTGGCTGACAAATCTAATGTCAGTCTGTACAGACATTTCGTTAAATATTGTTCCACAAAGACAAACCATTATTGAATTGAGTGTGTTCGTCTTGATTGACAGGCCGCTCGGACACAACACACAGTCCTAAATGCTGATGAAACATTTTGTCAGTTCAATAGTTAGGCAAATTCAGGCCCCTTCTGGTAGACGACCATTGAACCTCATTTGGAATAAGATTACTAAACTACTAATTGTACCATTAATTACAAATATGATGTTTGTCAATTGAACAATTATTTTGCAAGTCAAGTAAAAAGTGTTTTTGCAGTTTTTCATTAATATGTCATATCATAACTTTCTCTCCTGCGATGTATATGTTTCGGGATGTACTCACAAGAGGAACAGGTCTTCTTTTGCTCGATGGCTGATAAAAAAGATCATTAGTCGCTAAATAAAACACATCATGTAGAATAACGTAACATTTGTTCCTAAAACATAGCTAGAGACGTAGTTCATGGGACTTGTTGATGTGCAAAATCTACTTTTAAATTGACAAACAGGTGTTATTCAGGGCATAAGGTTAACAGATGAAACCTAACCTTAAACATAGCCTTTACATATTGTACATATCTTTCAAAGAATTCCCATGATGTAAACTGGCAGATGTTTTTTTTTGGTCATTAGTGGTGAATTGTTTAGTGATAAATCACCTCAGTGGATTTTGTACAAAGAAGAGCGAAATCTAGAGTTTCTCTCAATAAAACCAGCAAACTGCAGATACATTTCTGTCAGATGTACTGGTAGACATGTTGAGTTGAAGTGGTGCAGGATGACCTGAAATGTTAACATTGATTTACTCAGTAATCAATACGTATCTATATATTATTGCACACAGATTTGTAATTGGTGAGTCGGTAGCTAACATTCCAACACAGCTAGTTGGATAATTAACCGCAAAATCAAAAATACAAATGTATCTTCTTACAAAAAGTGTTATTTATCGATCTAGATTTTTTTGTGGTGAGATGCTGAGTGTTGCGACATTTCGGCCGTAGAGATGTTTGCCTTTCTTTGAATATAATGGCACTGAGCTTGTGATGCTATATACTTCTATACAAATACATTTGAACTCAACAGCTCATCCCTACATGATCTGCTGGCTAAGCTCCTCCTTATGATTGAGCAGAACATCATCATCATCATCATCATTACTGTCACCATGACAACTTACTGAAACCTGCTTGAACTCCTCAGTAGCTCACATGCCATCACACATCAGGCACGACATTCTGTGAAATCCTTTCAGTTCAGGATGAGTTTGGCCATGCTGAGCAAAACCCAGCACGACAACATGAACTGTGAATGAGGCGAGAGGAACAGACGCACGATGACAATGATGATGACGGTGATGAAGATGAAGGAATGTTGACTAACATGGGACAAAATACATCTGTAATGACACATCTTTAAGACCTCTTAGAGCCCTTTGCATCAAGGTGAAATGTGCATGGAATGAGTAAAAGCTAAGTAAGACTGCGATTATTGAAAATTAAGGAATGTTACCCAAAACTAAAAAGGAAGAAAAAGTTCAGATTAAACCGCATTAATGCACTTACAGTATTTCTCACAGAAGTCTGTCACCTGTTTGTCGCTCTGATGCCCTTGAAAGTCATTCAGCCAAATCATTATTATGATAATTATTATTATTAGGGAAGCCTGATCTCATATGATACTTGGATCTAGGGCAAAATAACTTCATAGGGACATTCACAGGACTGGGACTGTAGTGGTGAGACTGGCAGTGTAATGTTAGTAGTACTAGATGTAGTACTCGTAGTATTAATGGCAGTGGTATTACTTTAAGGCCTAGCTTTGATCAAAACAGCTTAGAGAAAGGAAACGTGAAGAAAAAAGGCAACAGCTTTCTGCTGGTGGCTCACAGGCTGGTGTTCCCAGCATGCATCACACCGGCACATTCGAACCAAATAGACACGTAAACGTCCTCGTGGCTCTGCGTCTCGCCGGAGGCTCCACAGGTGGGGGGGGGGGTGGTGTTTCATCATCAGTGTTACAGACATACAGTGTTGAAGGCACATAGTGCTCCACAGAAACAGTGTTACTCAGCTATACAGTGTTACAGACGGACAGTGTTGCCGTGGTTATGAAGGCTGAAGGTGAAAGGGGGCGAAGCTTTGCTGTTGCTGTGTTACAGGGGTTGTCGGCTGCCGGGCTGGGGTGATTGCCGTGGCGACACGGCAGCCAGCAGCTCGCTGTAAATTTCCTGTCGAACCTCCTGCGCCAAGCTCTCTCGAATCTGGAAAACAACAGAAACATTATAAACAACAAGCAGATCCCTTTCTGTTTTTTACACTGTTTTAATGTCATCAAAGAATAATATGGAAAATATTATCTCATTTGGCGTTTTCCCTTTACACACACACAATTAAATAGGAATTTTAACCAGTAAAATCCTGCACTAGTTAGAGTAAAAGGTTACCTCTTTGATGAGCTGCTGCAGGTTCCCGACTCTGGCTCCTCTTGCTGCCCCTTCCTCTTCTGGTACTCCTCCTCCTCCTCCTCTTCCTCTGTCCGGCTCGTGCTCATCCAGCTCCTCCTCCTCCTCCTCTTCCTTTTCCTCAGTGTGTGTGATGGATCGAGGAGGAGGGACAGGGTTAATGTTAATTGTTGCCCGGTACACGCCTCCTTTCTGCCGGCTTCCACCTCTGACTGGACTGGAGGATCGGGACGAGGGGTTACTGGAGGGGGCGTGGCCATCATCACTGAGCTCTGATTGGAGGTAGAGCTGCTCTCTGAGGAGGTCTGACACCTGGACCGGAAAAGGTTGTGCATTAAGATAAAGTTTACACTGTGAGCTTTATATTAAATATGAGTGTTTGTATGTGTGTGTGTGCTTACTGGCTCCATGGCTCTCAGTGCAGAGGCGGTGGACAGACTGTCCACACTGCCGCCTCTATGGAGACCCTGAGAAAGAGAGTAGGACACATGACGATAAGAGTCGAGACAAAAAGGCATTTTAGAAAAAGAACAACTTTTTGAGTGTAATTTGAAAGCTTTGTCAACTGAATATGACATTGTGCAGATCTGCATCACCTCTTGTCTTTACGTCACAGGTGTTGAAAAGTCTTCCCCTTATATCTCCTCCACGCTCAATTGGGACGGCTCTTACTGTTGTCTGGGATTACCCCTCTTTCTTTCTTTTCACTCTTTTCTATATTTCTATATTATTTGAAGGCTGTTGTCCTTTTTTTACTTGTACAAATTGTAGTCCAAATCAGATAAATAGTCTCAAAAGGGTCTTTATGAAATAGAATAGAAGCATATATATGTTGTATGCAAATGTATAATGGTTAATTAACCCTGTGGTATCAAAGCAATATAGAATACAACTAGCTATGAATGCTGGATATTAAGATGCACTGTGTGTACCCTGTGTGGTGGGCTCTGTGTCAGCTCCATCAGTCGGTCCTCCAGCTGTTGTTCCAGCTCCTGCAGCTCCTCTCTAACCGCCGACCTCAGAGACTGAAGCTGCTCCACCTCCATCCTGAAAACACACAAGATGTTTGTTATGTTCATCATATACAGTCTCAGGGCTGTGATCATCTGTTTGCTGTGATGATTGTTTGCTGTGATGACTCACCTGTCAGCAGGGCTCAGGTGTTTGTAGACCTGAGCCTGCTGTCGAATGATTGACAGCTCCAGGTCCATCATCTGACTGCGGAACAAGTTCAGGCTCTGCTTCTTCTGCTGAAACGCTGCCAAAGACTGTAAACAGAGAGAGACAAAGGTAAACACACCTGACTGATGACACTAACAATATTGACATTTGAAGCCATATAAAGCTAGTATTTCAAGTTACTATATTACTATGAATTCAAAAACGATGGGATGTGTGCACGTTATGTATGGAGCATATAGTCTTTGCATATTATCTCTTTGTAATGACTCAGTCAGAGAACATATCTCCTGACAGTGTTTGTGTAAAAGCTGTACATACGTTTTAAGTAATCTTTACTTACAGGAGCATTTAACGCACAAGCTAAGCCACAAAAAGCAATAAGGGATGATGATACCTTGTGGCTGGGCAGACTCCCTCTGGGCTCACTGAACACATCCGAAGTGCCGACTCGGGTCTAGATGAAGACGACAGTGTTGTTAGGACAGGAAGTGGAACATGACAAGCTGACCAGGGATAGGTAAAAGCTAACCGAGGACTGGACCATATGGAAAAAATGTGATTAATTTATTTATTTTTGATTAAATATATTGATCCTAAAAAAAAAACAGATAGTTAATTATGGTTTGCAATATACAATTATTTATGATCAAAAATCCAGCTGAGGACAAGCAAGGCATCCAACAATACTGATCTCCAGTACCTGCCCTGAGTGACTTTGGAGAACGTCAACTCACCTTTAAAAAAACAAAAAACTAAAGTAGGACAATAACATAAACTAACTAAACTAACCAATCAAGGCAGCTATGGCAACACCCGTGTTCTGCCAGTTATATTCACAGTTCTTTTTTCAAAACGGGTCTTTAAAAAGAGACCATCGATGGATATATATGTTTCAGTTCCGTGGTAAGGTAAAGTGGTGAAATTATTCAAAATAAAAACTACACTTTAAGTGAGATTCAGATTTGTTTTAGGTGCTAGAATATGGTTTGCTGCTGCCGCTTTCCACAACATTATTTTGCTTGACTCCTGTCTTGGAATTCCTTCTGTTTCTCCACACTAGGGACCTGCAGACTGCCATTTATTGCAGGTAATACACTGACTATGGATAAGTTCATCATACAAGCCCACTTCAACAAACCAAAACACTTTAAGAGAGTGAAGAGCACTGACCTGGCTCAGGCCCTGAACCGTGTCTTTGATGTCATGCAGGACCCTCCTCAGCTGCATCTCAGTGCTGGACGGGCCATGGCTGGCTCCTGGACTGGGAGCAGCATGAGGATTGAGCCCCGGGTGGAGGCTGTGACCCGAGCCCAGGGAAGAGGCCAGGCCTGGGTAAAAGCCTGCATGAGGAGTAGCAAACCCTGGGTGGAGGCCATGTTCTGGGGCAAACGGCGGACCCTGTGTGACGGGGTTGTGGTACGCTAGGTGTGGGTTCATGTTGTACATATTGTAACCAAGGTAGGGGGATGCAAACTGTGAGCCGTCAGGAGAGGAGTTGTAGGGTGACTGATGGCCGTATAGATGATTGTAGGCCTGTTGGTGCATTGCTGGAGTTCTAGGATGAAGGTTGCTGTGCTGACCAGGTGAGGACTGATGAAAGTTGGGGAGGTTGCCATGCTGGGGGATTGTGGAAGTTGGAGGTTGGGAGAGACTGTTTAGACAAGAATGAAGGGGCAAGTGTTGGTGCTGAAGGAGGTTAGGAGCACTGGCGTACGGATTGAGATTGGAGGGATACTGCTGAGGAGGGTTTAGAGGGGAGGGGTATGGGCTGGGATTAGGATTTGGGCTTGGGTTTATGTACTGAGTTTGAGGATTAGGATAGCGAAACATCATCTGGCCTGAATTCCAACTCTGCTGGTTTTGCTTGGTGCTCATTTTCTGTTGGAACTGGCCCGGATGCTGCTGATTGGATAAGAGGTCGGGAACGCTCTGGGTGCTCCAGCAGTGGCCAACGCTTCCTGGGGACCATTCTGGAGGAGGGCTGCTGCTCTGCAGGGAGCAGGTGGAGCGCAGCATGTAGCGTGGGATGGGCTTCGGTGGGACGGGACCTTCAGGGGGAAGCCTTGGTGGTTTGTTGATAGAGTCTGAAGAGGAGGAGGGGTTTATGATCAGGGTAGACATACAGTTAATTGATCGTTCCTCCCCCTCCCCCTCCTCTTCCTCTTCCTCGTCGCCTTTATCCTCTGGAGTGTATTTGAAGGAGTACCTTGGCTGCGTGCAGGACACCTGTCCTCGCCCAAACTGGATCCTGACAGAGGACACAACCGTGGTGGGGGAGAGGAGCGAAGAAGGCAAGGAGCAGGACCTCTGCAGGGGGACGCCACGTCTTCCTCGTCCTCTCCCTGGGATATGGGTCAGATCATGACCATGGGACAGCTGGCACTGTTTGGCTCGGTACAGAGCGCAGAGGACTGGAGACGATGGAGGAGGAGGAAAACAAAGTGGATCAGAATCGTCCAAGGTTCCTTGCTCTACCTGGGCCTGTTCCTCAGCACCCGCTCCCTCTGTGGGTGGTTCTGCGTCTGCAGCGGTCTCCGTCTGATTCGGGGTGTGTTCCAACTCTGGTTGTGATTCTTGTTCTGCAGCAGGTATAATCACCTGTTCTGGTTCTGGTTGGGAATCATTCTGGTGTTCACTTTCAACTAGCTCCTCCTCCCTGATCTCATCCTGTTGCGTTCCTATGTTCTTGGGTAGGTGGTGCGCTGAGTACTGCAGAATCTGCTCTAAACTCCCATCATGCTCATCTTCCCTGGATCCACTTCTCCCTTCAGCCTCAGCAGCAGCAGCAGCAGCACCAGGACCAGGACCCGCCTCTTCCTCACAGGTGTCTGGCATCTCAAAAGCTGGTTGGTCCATTGGGACCGGCGTGGCCACATCTAGTGAAGGGTGTGACGTCACGGTTGTCTCGCTGTCACAGCTGTCACTGCTCTCCTGCACCTAATCACAATCAATTTATTCGCCAGTTAGTGGATGAAGAACTAAGATGAAGTTAAAGAATACAACAATGTAAAAAGAGAGATTGGATTGAACATCTGCATTAAAAGTTGGTGTTCTGAACAGAGATACAGGCGGTAAAGACACGAAACAAAACACAAACAGACCTTGAGGTAGATGTTGGAGTCTGCAGACGGCTCCTCAGCAAAACCACTGCTGTCTGACTGCTGACTGACTGTCCTCAACAGGTCTGAGAGACACAAAGACAATGACACACTATGATTACTGCTGCAGTACATCGTCTGTCCAGCTGGTGGCAGAGTAGAATCATTTACGCTGAGCCTAAAGCAGAAAGTGACAGGACAGTCTGTCCTTACTGACATCTGTGTGTACTAAGGAAAAGGAAACAAGTTTATTGCACACAGAAACAGGCTGCACATATACTGGATAGCAATGCAGCACGCAAGAAGTAGACGACTAGAAAGTTAACATACTGTAGATGCAGGGATTTTTTATTTTTCAATGCATCTAGGTCAGTATGAATGTCCACATAACTTTTGTTTGTTAATAAAAAAATCCAAAAGGCAGTTTGAAGGAAAGTCAAATATATAAATATCACCAGTTGAAAAACAGGTAAAGGGGAACTCACCGGTTGCTCTGGAATTTCTTTGTGGCAGACCCTCATCTTCGTTAATCTAAAAAGAAAAGAAAACGGTGAATTTAAAAAGAAAAAAACATACTCAACATGGGCAACATGCTAGTTCATCTACAGCAGCAGCAGACCAGGCTCCACACAGGGGAGGAAATCGCTTTAAAAAGGTCAACACATAATGGTTTTTGTTGCATTGTTTCACATTCATGACTTTTTGTGGTTTTGCAATTCTCCTAGAGCTTTATCTTCTCATGGCATGTTTAGTGAAGCAGCAGCTCCACATAAAGCCATTCAAATCACACAAATCTCTATGACTACACAACTTAACCCATAATGATCACGCAAGGTCATCATTTTCACTTTGAGCTTTTTAAACAGGCATATGGGGAAATTAAGTAAATGAATAAATAAAACAACAATGATTCCTTCCTGTGTATTCCACATGGAGTCCACAGTAAAACTATTTTTACATCACAAAAGTTGTTTAAGTTGTTTTGAAATGTCACTGGTTCTTCTGGTTTATTTTTAAATACAGTGGGAAGACAATTTTAGGATTTATTTTCATCAATTTCAGCGGTAGTTTGTGTTGGAAAACTAGTGTTTAGTGTCTAAACGAGGAGCAGAGTGCATATGCAACAAATAAAAGGATAACCTTTTTTAATTGAGATGGTGAGATGGTGTTGTGAACCCAGGAGAATATCACACATTTGTGTAGGCTGATTTGAATGTTAAAAAATCACCAACAGGTACCATTTACAACCTAGTGACCGCGCAGATCATTATAACTCTTTGTGTTGGAGAACCCTGTTTGGGAGTAGTCCTGACATTACCACATACTCATTTAATAGATCCCTGGCTTACCTCCTCCATGTCGAAAGAGTCTGTGTTTTCCTTCTGGGCCAGCTTGAACAGGGCCAGGCTGGGATGAGCTCTCTCTGGGGTTGAGGTCCGGTTCTTCTCCTCCAGCTCTTCTTTGCCTACCTGGGTCCTGTCCTCTGTTCTCTGATTGGTTGACGGAGAGTCAGCTGATTCTGGTTCATGCTCTCTATTGGCTGCTGGACTGACTCTGCTCTGTTCAGGACTGATGGGAGGCGAGATGTTAAGGTGCAGTCAAGTATTTTACATTTTACTGATAATACTTAGGAATATGGATTTGAATGGAGGACTTTTACCTAAATTGGTAATAGACAACTTTTAAACCATTTGGGGAAAAAAACAAAACACTAAAGTACATTTTAATACATTCCCAATGATGCTCAGAGAAACAGCAGTCCACTGTTCTTCTACCGACTAGATTTGGTTTCTTAATCTCTGCAATGAACATCAGCTCTATGCAGACGATGCTCAATTACATTGCTAATATGCAATTAAGTGTAATAAAGCAATGGTGGAGAAAGCACTGCTCATAGTAAACCAATCTAAACACAAAAGGTGTTTTTATTCTCTTTTTGCATAGCATTTTGCAATAAACACTACCTACACAATACTAAGTTAAAGTGGACCTATCATGCTATATTTGAATAATATATTGTAGGGCCATACCTATATAAAACATGTCTGTGAAGTTTTTTTTTCAAAATACCAAACAGATCATGCATTTTAGCCATGCCTCATTTCGCTCTATTTGCTCGATCCAGCCCTGTCTTCACAAGGGCTGATTCTGAGGCAAATGAGCTGCAGCTGACCACGGCTCCCTGCAAAGGGGGGGCGAGGCACGAGCATCATGTTACCATGCTGTTACCATGCCACGGCAACCTCTCATCCCCTGATAGGTGGAGAGTTGCCCATGTAGGCGGAGTTCCTTGTTTCTGACGTCAGAGATATTTCAAATCTGTATCAGATCCATTGCTGCCCCGTTTTTAGAGATTTGGGTATGGAGGAAAAGAGAGAGGGTTGTGTTTTCTGACACTTGGTGAGTTCCCTGACACACCGGGGACACATATTCATGTATAAAATACGTACAAAAGTGCATTTTGCATGATAGGTCCCCTTTAAATAAAAAACATATCCATTGCTATATTTACAGTTCTGAATACTTCCTCCACCACTGCAAACCGGCTTAAATATTAGCGAGCTAACATAAGCTAGCATTTTGTACCTGTCGTCTCCATCACCGTTGGATTCCTCGGTGACGGTTGCCAGGAAACATTCTTTCCTGCGCATATGTTTCTGGTTGATTGTGTCCGCCTGGTGGTCGGGGTCAGTACTGCTGCCGTTCTGCTCCGGTCCGTTAGCGTGACCGTTGGAGTGCGTGTGATCAGGGTTAGCGTGTCCGTTCAGCTGCGGCTGTTGATTGCTTGCATCAGGCGACTCGGGGGAGGCCGCAAGCAGGTTTTTTTTGCTGATGGTTTTCTTGAGGAGTTTAGCAACGTTACGAGCTGAGTTGGTCTTCTTCAAAGGAGGACACGACTCGTTTGCTTCTCCTTCTCCTAGAGATGCACAACCATTATGTCACTATCAGTCAAATGCAGTGCCAAATATGTTATCATAGTAAGAGTAACATGAATGAAAAAACAATCTGGGATCAGTTTGTCTGCATTTCACTTCTTCACTTCAATGGTCGTAATTGATCTTGAACACAGACTGTAGGCTATAGCCTATAAGAACTAGTTTTTTTTAATGTTTTATTATTTATTCTACTATTTCCACAATTAGACAATTTCTTTAGAAGTATAATGGTTTGTTTGTCATCATTACTAGTACTTGAACTTGGAAGTATATTTGTATGTATCTGTACACACGTTGGTATATCCTACTCCATTCTTCTCATACATTTTTCATGCACAAATAAAAATAAATGATAGATCCAACGTATGAAAAAAATCTTCAAAACTAAATTCGCATGGAACTTTGGTGGTAAAATCGAAAAATATAACAAACAAATGTGATTATTTGGATATCTTGGTAAGTCATCGGTTGGTTAAAGTAAAGTCCCATTTAAGTCTGTTGTAAATTTCATGGACATTTACCAATGTTTTTTTGCTCTATAAGTCAGAAATTAGGGGGCCCCAAGTAATAAGGCTATGTCTTACAGCAGAGTTAGAATCTGACCTCTCTCTCTCTCTCGTTCCTGTGTCGTCAGCTTTACTCTCCAAACCCCGCCCCCTCCCACCACCAAACAAAAATGATTGCAATTGTCATGGTTACCTTGGTCCTTGGAGCTGATGCGTTGGACAGGCTGACCAGAGACTTGACTGTAGAGCTGGAAGAACTCGTTAGCTACTGTCGTCAAGACCTCGATCTGACGGAAACGACCTGAGAGAGACAGAAACAAAACAACAGTTACAAAATATAGAACAGAAAATACTATGTGTGAAGTAAAACTGAAAACAAATTTACTGAAAACAAAAGTTACTCTTTCAAAGGTCTGCACACATTTGGATACTGAATACGGCTTTTCTTTACCTGCTCCTAAAAGTGTAAAAACTGGCAGAAAGGAGGCAATTTAGTTAAACTTCTAAACATGCTGTCAACATCCAGCGACGCTCTTCCTCCTCTGAGCCAGTTCAAATATCTCTGCCTGGTGAGGTTTCCTGTCCCTGAGCTTTTTGTTAAAGCACTCCCTCCATCAAAAAAAGACATCCATCTTACAAGGTCATTCATTCCCAACTTTAGCTTCATGAATACCAAAAAGTCTAGTTAAAGAAACATTTAGAAAATCGTGTCAGCGACTTCCAAAATAAGGCACTTGTCCACATTTACCACATATTTTTATGTTACATTTGATCATTTTGACTTTAGTGTATCAATCAACCCTTTGTAATCATCTAATGTGTATCATCTGTACAAGTGAAACGTGTATATTTGTATACAACTATCTTTTTGATCTGTTTTTTGCCTTGATACATTTTTATGTATCATGTTGTCACGGTAACAAGTTCATGTCCTCAGTGTGTGATCAATACAGTTATCTTATCTTATGTGTTTTAAGTTGTTTAAAAATACAATTCAACAAAAAGGAGTGTCAGTGGTCCATACACTTCTTTCTGCTAATAATCCCAAAATGCCATGAAATGTCAAATTATAGGGGCACATGTTACGGTACAACCTTACTCACTATGGAGTTAGCTTTTGAATGTTTATTACAAAGGGAGTGAATGAAAATAAGTAATAGTAGTGGTAATAACATGCGATCCATTTTGCCTGTTATTTTCACATTTCACAAGAAACAAGAGTTTTGGATTTAAAAACTATCTGCAGTAAAAAAAATGACTTTGCGAAAAGCTTCATGTTTGACGTCAGAGCCTCCCTTCTTCTGTGGTTGTGTAAGCCAAGCTGTCAATCTTGTCTGTAACAGGATGACTTGCATACTTTCCTTCCTTCCGTACTGGTCCCTCCTCCCCACCATCCCTCCATCTTTCCCCGTTTAAATACTTGTCACTCTGTTATGAAACGCAGACTTCTGCCTTTTGTCAGTCGCTCTGTTAACCCCAGATAACGTGCTCTGATTTCATCACCTGAAATATGAAGCTCAGGTCTGCTCGCTCTTACATTTGATCCCACCCTCTAGTTGTTACATCGATAGATAGATGGATAAAAATCCTACATTTTAACAGCAGTAGCAGTTATCAAGGCATTGTACGAGAGTAAAGAAATGCAAAAAAACAATAAATACAACTATAACTAACTTTTGTCAGCTTAATCAGTTTTCAATGCATAGGTTAGTTTGGCCTCTTGCCAAGAAATGTAACTATTTGAGTCAAACTAGGCTATTGAGATATTTAAGAAAAATTGACTACCTTACTTCCACAATTTGTGCCAAAAATCTTACTCTCTCTCAGTCATCATAACTTTATCAAATCTTAACACTGTAAAAGTAACAATACATATACGTCCATTATGAACTTTTGTCTATAAATATAAGAAGAAACCAGAGAAAAAATATGATCGTTTTACTCTAGAACGTTCTTGAGAATTATCACGTTTCTATGTTTTCTCCAGTATCACAGTAATCCAGTAAACCCTAACCGCTAATAGTTATTTGTTTAACTGTGCCATTTTGCCAAAATGTAAACAAATGTTGGCAACAAGTGATATTATTATAGCCAGAACAACTTTTAGAGATCCATATCATTTGCCATTGTGGCGTTTTCCAAATGTTCTGCGGCCCCAAAGCGGCCAAAATGTATCCATTAATGCACCATTAAAACAAGCAGTGATTATGAAATATGAAAACCTTCAAGTTAAACACATAGAAAACATCGACTGTGCTCAAGCCACAAACATCTTGACATGACTCCACAGAATATGAACCTCTTATTACAGCAGTCGTGTGTGATGATAGTAAGCCTGTGTGAGTCTGTTTCCTGCTGACTGCTGACTCGGCACTAATCCTTGTTCTAAAACAGGAAATGAGGAATAAGAGAAAACGACACGTACTCTCTCTTTCTCTCTCCCCGTCCCAAGAGATTCGTTCTGATGGTGAGAACAGAGCTTACGTAACAAACAACAACACACACACACACACACACACACGCACACACACACTCTCTGGGACCCGGGGAACCGATGGAACAGTATGAGAATGTTCTGGAAAAGAAAAAAAACTTTCCAGGACCCAAAGAGAGACCAGAGGCTGTTAAAGGAGCAGTTCACTTTGTAAAAGACGGACACAGAACTGGTCTCAGTCACCCCGGCTGTGCGTGAAGTCAGTCTGTATTTAGTTTCTAACCAAACATTTACTACATCAGTCTAAAGCAGAACAAAATCCCTCCCATTAAACAAAAACGATTTAGTAAGTCAGTATTTTGTTTTACTGTTGTTTTTAGTCAGTTTCCTACACAATGCTCAGATTATCAAATGCAATTTGAAATTGGGACCAGGTAGCTGTTTCTTATGAGAAGTATAAAAAGACAGCATGAAAGCTCTGTAGCCCGAACAAACAAGGCTAACTTTTTTCATTCTTTCAACCTTGACAGAGTCAGCGCACACCAGATCAACCTGCTCCGTTTTTGTCTTCTACAATAAAAGCCCTAATTAAACACCAAGCAAAAAGGAAATGCGTAAATCATAGAGAATGATATTGAATCAATAGTAATTCCCTTAAGGATGATAGCCAGAATCTACTTAAGCCTTTCATTGAATAAGTGCTTGTTTAGCTCTTTCTCTCAGTGGAGAGTGAGTGCATGAGTTCATTGTCATTCATCATCCTGAGCCGTTCTCCTGCCGTCAGACTGAACACTGCCCCACTTCTCTCCTCCTGATTCAGGTCATTGAGTTTCAGTGTACGTGCATCCAAACAGCTTGTGACTCATTTAGTTGTTATCAGCAGATAATCAGTGATTGTGAGATAAGCAAATGGAAACCGTATTGATGAATGTCAACAATGCACTGTGTCAGGTTGTTTATTGGAGTCAAACATCCAGCTTAATACCTGTGGTGACATAACACCGAGTCACAGCAGAGTCTTATTTGGTTAGTTGCACTTATACACACTGTCCGGATTACAATGACATAGGCTCAATACAAATGTTCTTTCAGATGGGTCCTTTCTTTTTCAAAACGCATAATGTTATAATTAGTATGTTATTAAAAATGTATTATACTGTTAGCGCCATGCTAGCGTAATAACGAACACCAACATTTCACACTTTTAAAAATGTAAACTCTAGGTTGTATGTGGAAATCGAAAAAAGTGTTATCAGTCAAAGAGGAATTCAACTAAAATCTCTAACAATGGTAATTCAACATGGCCACACCCAAGCTGATTGGTTGTTGTGCAAGGATTGTCTGTCAGACGAGAGTGGATCTTAGATAAGACGATCGCCAACGTTGCACAAGTGAGCGATGAAGACAAAACAGCTGATTCAATGTCCCTTAACTCTCCTTTTTATCTGATTCAACAGTCATTCTTATTGAATTAAATTCTCTCTATCATTTTAGGTCATTACGTTATTGGGTTTTAATTCATGCTCAGAAGATTATGACATTATTGGGTGCTACAAGGCGGTCAATAAGACTTGGAAAACTGTTGTATAGTGGCAAACATATACATCTTTTGCACTACACATAAAAATCCCACCTTTAACATTAAGAGACACAAACTCTGGTAGAAAGGTCAAAACTTGCAATTCCATAAAGATGCTGAAGTGAAAAAGTTATGGCGCATAGGCTCTAAGGTCAGCCACGTAATAACGCAGTCATTTTAACATACAATTGAGTCGCCTGGCTGTTTTCAGACTACCAACGCATACCAATAACTTTCATTAAACTAAGCTGGAAAGTCATTGATTCCTATTCTTCCATATTGAAGTGATACAAAATGTAGACCACCCAGCTAAACTACCATCATTACCTTTTCAGCTATGGAGTGATTCATCTTCCCACACACAGAGGATCTATGGGCATGTTATTTTTGTTTTTTTGAACAGCACCAAGACAAATAAAATGTCAAGAAGACTAGAATCAGTTGTGAGTGTGTGTGTGTGTGTGTGTGTGTGTGTGTGTGTGTGTGTGTGTGTGTGTGTGTGTGTGTGTGTGTGTGTGTGTGTGTGTGTGTGTGTGTGTGTGTGTGTGTGTGTGTGTGTGTGTGTGTGTGTGTGTGTCGTACGTACGTACGTACGTAGTAGTAGTGTACGTACGTACGTTAAGTAACGTTAAGTTAAGTAAGTAGTTAGTGTGTGTGTGTGTGTGTGTGTGTGTGTGTGTGTGTGTGTGTGTGTGTGTGTGTGTGTGTGTGTGTGTGTGTCTGGGACAAACGGTTCTTTGTCCTTGCTGGCCGTGTTGGCCAGGCAGTTGGCAGAACAGCTAAAAGAGCTAAAAGACCCCACAGAACACCATAATAGTACTGAGAACAGGACACTCACACACACAATGTTTGAGCTTCACTTCCTCTGTCTACAGTTTCAGGACATAACCCTCCTTCTGCAGTACTGGTGTTGTTTAGTTGTTGCCCTTCAGAAATGTGCAGTAATAAACACTAGAACAGATGGAGGTACATACTGGTCAGAGCGTAGTTGGGGTGCTCCACTTCCATGCGCTGCAGCTGGGCTCCCAAGTAGACCTGCAGGTGAAGAACAGGAAGTCATTATAATACAGTATCAGTGATTAACTATTAAAGCCAGGCAGCAGAGTTAAGAAATGGTAATCAGGGGAAATGCAACATTTGATACATTTGCCACTCTGCACCAGTCAACAGGCGATTGTGTTCCTCAGTATGTACTGAGGAATGTATGTATGTGTATGTAGTGTGTGTGTCTGCTCGTCTCTCTGGCTCTCTGTTTAGACAAAGAGGACAAACAGGTTCAACTAGAAAGGCCCTAGGAGAGAGGAGACCCCCACCTGGAACAGTGGGGCATTCACATGGTATTTGGGTGGTACACAGATGAAACTAAATTGGCCGATAGCGTAAATATATACTTCAGATTAGTTAAACAGGGCAGGGCCATGTGGAATTGAATGACTATGTTAGTGTGTAAGACTGATGCGTACTGGGACTCGTGTCATTCTGAGTATACTGTGGTCTCCAGCAGCTCTATAGGCTTTGAAAACACACCACATTTGTTGTCTCTTAAGGTTTGTATACAGTGGTAAAACACTGAAGGCGTCAGTACCTTAATGTCGATGCCTCGCGCTATAGAGGAGTTGTTGAAGAACCTGGAAGGAACCTTCGAGGCTAGGTCAGGTTCTTCTCGACCAAAACCAAGATTTAAAAGGATTTCCTCTGGGTCTTCCTCATACAGGTCCAGCAGCTCTGACACACTGTGAACACACACATAGGCAGTCAATGATTCAGTCATCAAGGCCGTGAGTCGCTCAGTCAGTTAGTTAGTGAGTTAGTCTGCTGGTTAGTTTATTAATCCTAACCGCAGCTTAAGAAGGGGGTTCTCCAGGGGCTCCTCGGACTGCTCCGACAACTCTGAAAAACTATGAAAACACAGACAGCCAGTTAGTACTTCTCACACACAGATTGTTGTTAGTCTGTTAGTGAGGTAGTTAGTTAAATATTAAATAAGTGGGGTGGTGGCTGAGCCTCTCCTCAGCTCCTCAGCAGCCTCACCTAAAGGTGGAGAACAAAATAAACCTGACCAGGAGGATCAGCCCATCAAGGAATTAGGAAACGTTTTTTTGTTTGTATTGGGGGGGCTGTGTCTCATAAGGATGAGTTGGCGTGTACCAACCTGAAGGTCCTGGTTCAACCCCCCCTGTGGTGGTTGGTAAAATTGGTAACTTTTGTGGGTATTGGAAATTAAATTGCAGGGATAAGTCAAATTTGCTTTAATTCAACGATCACAGGAGGAAATATATATGATGTAGTAAACTTAGTCTTGCATTGAGGCCTACTGACTTTCCTTTACAGCAAATGTTTAATTATGTTTTTAATGCCCTATAGGTGCTTCATGAAGATATGTTTTATTATCACTGCTCTCTATGGATTATTAGGTTTTCTTCTCATCACACAGAGAAACCAACAAAAGCTTTCAATCTGCTGCAAAACTTTGTTTTTTTAACACAGCATCTCAAGTCCTTCGAAAAAAATGAAAAAACTGTGGATGGATTACCCATGATGCACCACCACATAGCCCATAATGAACCAGTACACACACACAATACACCAATGACCTCCAAACGCTGGAGTAATGCCCAAACCCTGGCACCATCAGCCCCCTGCTGTGACCTCATCCCCGCTCGACCGCCACCACCAATAAATCCAAAAGGCTCCTTTCCACCACAAACACTTTGTTCAAGAGTAAATCCTCCAAACACAGATCTATTGATGATGCACCGCAGACATTAACAAACACAAACACACCAGCTTCAACCATGGAGATCTGGAAAAGTGTATCCCCCCCACATTTCTGAGAGAGCAGTGACACTGTGAGCTGTTATTGTTCAAACCAGGCAAACTCCACTAAAGGAGCTCTGAGAAAGGTCTGGTTTTTTGTAAGTATTCAATCAGAGAAACTAACCACAATGGTTCAACTCAACATCTTTATATATTTACATCTTTATATACAGCAAATTCTTGTATGAGTGGTTCCCAATGTTCTTTTTATTACATTGGGAACCACTCATACAAGAATTTGCTGTATATAAAGATGTAAATATATAAAGATGTTGAGTTGAACCATTGTGGTTAGTTTCTCTNATAAAGTGCTAGATCCGTGTATACACGTGTATGCACCAATCAATAAAGTGTCGTCGTTCAATGTGGTTATAAATGTTTTATGTTTTATGTGTGGAACATTTGTCAACATTTCCTAAAATAGTCGGTCCTATATAATGTGTCGTCAATAATTGCCCGTAGTCTATATATGCAACAAGATTTGTCTGTAATACGTATTACACTGATTAATCCTGAAAAATCAGATGAAAATGTACCCCTAGATTGATAACAGAATGTGACACGATCATATGAGTAATCAAGAGTATTTGTACACTTTATACGTTTCATTGAGCATTGGAATTCATTCTCATTATCCCTTGATCGGGATATTTTCTTCATCATGTGTAAAGTCTGTTCTTCATATGTGTAATCTTGGGTAAGGCTCAATTATATGTGTTCATGGATTACTGAACATAAATTCATATTGGCTCTTGGAAATTTATAACAATATTATTTTATCCTCGACGAAATTTCAAACTGAGTGACACACGCGTAAGGGCGGAACCTACTTCCTATCTGCGCCCTCGCGCGTGCTTGCAATTAATCTGCGACCCACTTAGACGGTTCACAGAGCTTTTTTCGCCGAGGGGCAGGAGGTATCGCTGCTGTGGGGGCCTTATGTTTGTATCGAGTAGTCAACACTAGTCGAGTGGCAATACAAATAGACCGGCGACCCAAAAAGTATTTCCTTGGTGGAGTATTGAATAACACAAACGCAGACTAACCAAGCAGCTAGCTGACTGCTTTGTACAAGCCTCTTACTCCTCCTGGAGGTCTCTCTCGTCTCGCTGTCGTGCTTCTTCTTCTTTCTTTTTGTTTCACGCTTCTTCTTCTTTTTCTTCTTACCCTCTTCCTCCTCCTCTTCACGTCTCTTCCTCCTTCCTTCTCCTCCAATTCCCTTCTCTTCTTGTCGCAACTCACTACAACACTCGTCTCCGCCTTGAGGTCACGGGCAGTCTCCCTGTCACCCGCTTTGTTTATTTTTCCCGTGCTCCGAAGTACTTCGCGGTCGCACGTACTTCAACACATCGAAACTTACCGTCGAAATACCATGCCAGATCAAATTTTTCTGTGGCACTCTTTGAGTTTGGGAAATTTCAATGTGTGTGGGGATTCTTATTGTCCAACCACAAACATCAAATTGGGTAATCGTAGAGATACGACAGGATTAATAGGGTAGTCTTGACTAGTGCGGGGGGAACATGTATTGGACATGTATCACGTGAGACGTAAAACAAGGCAGGTTAATTCCCCTAACTCCTGTAATAAAACCGGCATTTTCCTGATATAACCCAGCGAGGACCCTGTAAGATTTAGTTACGCGTGATAATAACAACTGAAAAGCTGAGAGTGAGGACGTCGCATACTAAATTCTTGTAAGTGACACAATGTGGGTATACTTGAACCATTATATACTGCTTCTGTGACTCAATGTAGTATAGTCTTACCTTTTTCTACTAAACCCCAAGCTGTAATCAAGACGTATTAGAGTAACGAAACACAATCATCCGGATGTTTGTACAATACCCGTATTAAGTTTATTTGACAACACACAAACACACAAACGTCCTCCCAACAAAACGACGCACCTAGAAGTTTCACCCTTTCTCAGTCTACCACAATGAGTGGGGTTTTGCTCCGAACTGCACCTAGGCGGTACGTAGGGCTCTTGGGTGTCCAGCAATGGTGGTGCGCGCGACGCCGATGTGATGTCTGCTCTGTCTGTCGTCTGTCTGTCTCGTTCTGTCTGTCTCGTCTGTCTGTCTGTCTGTCTGTCGTCCCGTCACAGCATAAAGTCCGTGCGACCACTACCGTCTTAACTCTACCAAGCCCACCCCCCGTCACCCCTGGTGCAGACATCTGTCACTTAGACCTCCGCATTTTTGTGTGCTGCTGTCGTTGTTGTCGTGTGTGTAGCTGTGTCTCGCTGTCGGTGATTCCGTCGTGTATTCGATGTGTGCTCGCGTGCTTGGTGGTGCTGCCGCTCGTGCGCGTCGCGCTCGTGCGTGGTTGTGGTGTGGTTGTGTGGTGTTGTGTGTGTCTGTGTGTGTGTGTCTACACGTCCTCTCAGTCTCAATTACGTAAACTTATAGTAGTTACAAATTAGATCAGATGGTACCTTGACCTAACGGTCCACGTACAGTAGAATTGCTTACGCGCTCGCTCGCGCGTTCCGAAGTCGTCTCCGATCCTTTTTCTCATCTGTGGGCCTTTTTCCGTTTGTATTCCCTATGTTTCATCACCGGACCTAAGAAAATTTCCCACATGTGTGTAAGAAACCACGGCGTCAGCTGCCACCCCATGACTAGACATCTCACCATTAGTTAGGACGCCACCATATAAATAATATATAAATGACAATAAATATAAATCTCTTCAGGCCACCAACCGCGACCACACATCCACTTTGGCTAAAGTTCTGTCCTCTCGCCACATCCACTCAGCCTCCTATCTCCCCACATCTCAATCTTACCCACACAAACCACCCCCGCCACCCGTAACTGTGTAATATATACCTGGCTGCTAAATCCTAAGAAATGTTACAGGATGTGTATTTTTTTAAATGACGTAACTTTTTATTTTTTATTATATTTGTAATGATATCATAACTTAGTACTTTTTTTTAATGCATGTCACATATTTAACATATGTAACATTAAACTGTCTGTGGCTCTTTTTCCTGCTGTAACTACGCAAATTTCCCCTCCGTGCACTAATAAAGGTATTCTGTTTCTGAACATATATATTATTATAATATTTATCAGTGGATTTACATTATATAAATTCATAAGGCAAAATTCCTCAGACAACACAAAATATTTGAGCACATACTTCCAACATCTAGTCGGCCTCCAGAAATGTGCTAAAAAAAAGCCATTATGCAAATGAAAGGTGCAACAACATGATCGTCATATTTTACCTAAAACCAGATAGTAGATTGTAACCCCCTTTTGATTACTAACATACTCACTGTCGTTAAAAAGTACATATTCGTCCCAGTAATTAAAACAGATTACAATTACATTTATTTTGTAGATTATATGACGCCTTTACATGTAATTAGTTACTCCAAACGACACACCCCTATTTACTATAGTCTGCTTCATCAGGTGCACACTGTCCTCCTATATGATTTTAATACATGCAAACCAAATCAGAGAACAGGATGTTCCCTGACTGGGGTATAACCACCATATTATGGGAATGTGTATTGATAACAGATGGTTTACTTTAATCTGCATTAATCAGTGTTATGATCATCCGACAGACTGAAAAAATAAACCCATATCACAAGTACTACTGCTTATACTGCTATTGATACAAGTTTTTGGTTCTACATGTAATTAAAATGTCCACATGACGTTTATATTTATAACTTCCTTTCTCTAAAAAAGGCTGAGGTTAAAGTAATTTTTTTCTTCCTTCATCTTATAAGTGTTAGTTAACATTTCAGTTTTGTTTTGTTTGAACAGGATTAATCTTTATGCTCTAATCATAATTATTCCACTAACAGAGAGGCTAAATGGTGGGATATGGCCACCATATTGTCCCTCTTGATTCACACACACACACACACACACACACACACACACACACACACACACACACACACACACACACGCACGCACGCACACACATACTCAGCAA